TGGGTGTGACTGAGTGTGTACATGTGTGAGCAGTGTGAGTATCCGTGGGTGTGACTGAGTGTGTAAATGTGTGAGCAGTATGGGTATGTGACTTAGTGTGTACACGTGTGAGCAGTGTGGGTATGTGTGGGTGTGACTGTGTACATGTGTGAGCAATGTGGGTATGTGTGGGTGTGACTGTGTACATGTGTGAGCAGCGTGGGTATCCGTGGGTGTGACTGAGTGTGTACATGTGTGAGCAGCGTGGGTATCCGTGGGTGTGACTGAGTGTGTATATGTGTGGGCAATGTGGGTATCCGTGGGTGTGACTGAGGGTGTACATGTGTGGGCAGTGTGTGTATGTGTGGGTGTGACTGAGTGTGAGCTGTCTTTATGGGTGTGAATGCCTTGTGTGTGTGTGTGTGTATGTGTGTGTGTGGCTATGTTTGAGTGTGCAGCAGTTGGTGTGAGCTGTCTGGGTGTGGGTGATGTGCCTATGTGCACATATATGTCTCTTCTGCGCAGCTCCCCATTTTCCAGATAAGAATATCCAGCATTCCAGACGACGACAACCACTTCTTGGTGACATGCCCAGCATAGAGCCCTGCCCTGCCCTCTGGCCCTATCTAGGTCATTGCATGCTCCCAAAGGCTAACCCAGACTACATGTGGGTTTCCTCAGCCCTCACCCAAAGCCAGGCGGCCGAGACTCTCACACCTGGACTTGACCCCCATCCTCTGCATCCCCCCCAACACAGGGCGGTGGTGCCGCTGTTGGGATAGCCTTAGATCGGCTGCAGCTTTGGGATGAAGTCTGTCCTGGGCACACACGGGTCCTTTGGGCGTGAGCAGTAGCTAGGAGATTAGGGACCAGAGGCCCCACTGGAAATAGGTTCTTTTCCAACAGAAGACTGAGTTCACCTCCTTGATTGTCTGACTGTATGAACGATTCCTGGATAAATAAAGGACAGGAAGCTGCACTTAAACGAGTCGCGTTACCCAAAGAGCAGCCTGGCGGACTCACTGGGAAAGCACAATTTTGTTTTTAAAAATGGGGGACAATCACAAAGATCTAGAAGGTCCCACTTGGAGTTAAGGTATATCTAAAGTCTCATTGACTTTATAGAGTCCCAACGTGAAGGTCGTGGCTGGTGATCGGGATCATGACCAGTGACCATGGCCACCATGGTCAGCACACCAGGAGGGTTGTTCTGCTGTGTGGCTTGTGTCTGTGGCTGGGCTGGGAGACTACAATCGTTTATTTTGCCTAAAACAAACAAAATGAAATGTTGGGATATTTAAGGCTATGTCAAAATAAAGTTTGCTGTCGCTGTTTTGAGCACAAAGGGCCCTTGGCCACCCCAATGTTCCTACACACCAAGGAAGACCCGGAAGGAGGTTCTGGGCCAGCTCCTTACCCTTTCTCTTGTCTCCTGGCTGCTTCTCTGACTCAAGGTTTCCTCCAAAGGAAGTTCATTCTATGTCCTGACACTGGTCTTGCTGAGACCCCACTCAAACCCCAACTCCCCCTGACCTCTCTCTTGGCCCTCTTCCTCTCCTATTTTCAGGATAACCTCAAATGGGCTCTAATTCTTGGATTAAGTGCATCCTTTACAACACATTTTGTCAGATTAGGTTATAGAGTCGGCCCAGTTTACCACCACCAGGGGGCAGAGCAGACAAGGGGCGGTAGGGTCCTGGGGGAGGAAGCCACTTAACTAGGTCATCCTCAGAGCCTGCAGGCAAATTTTGGCCTCCCGTGGGTCTATGACAGATACTGTGGGGTCCCTCTCCAACATTTTCTCACATGGACACTTCCATGAAACTCCACCAGAAACCCCCTCACCCCTGCCTGAGCACTGGGGGTCCATTAGAGGCAGCTCTAGGTGGCAAAGTTTACTGCCCCTCCTGTTAGCCTCTTCCCACCCACCGGCCTTGGCACAGCACCTGGGACAGGCCTCCACCAGTACAGGGGGTCAAAGTGAGAAACCAGGAAGGGCATCTGCTGATAGCTTGTTAGGGGTCCTCCCTGCAGGAAACATCAGAGGAGGGGACAGCCAGCCTGGACCACCGTGCACCTCACCCACAAACACACATCACAGGTCTCTGCCCTAGAACAAAGGGGTGTCCCTGGCCAGCTGGAGGGCCCTGTGGACTGTGTGCCGTGTAGCCCCCTATGTGCACACACACACACACACACACACACGTGCACACATAACGCACACGCATGCACACACATACATGCACACACGTGCGCACACGCATACATACACATATGCACACACATACACACAGTTGCTGAGCTGAAGAGCCCTGTGTGAGTTGTGTGTTGTGTAGTTTCCTGTGTAGACACACTTGCTGGCTTTGGACACCAGTAACAGTGGTTCTGAGGTCAGAGCAAGGCCTCTCCTGGTTGTCCAGCATTTATCCTCTCCCTGAGTCCCTCTGTCCACTCAGGGTGGTGGATGAATTACTGTGGGCTCCCCTCAGCCTCAGGTACCAGCACCCTCAAGTGGAGACAATGGAGGACACCGTCTGAGCTGCCTGTGACCTTGCACATACCGGAAGTAGAACCCGGTGCCACCTTGGGTGTTCATCTGACCCCTTCACCATGGCCACACCTGTCCCCACCCCAAACAGTGGCCAACACTAACCAGATGTCTGGGTAATAACCAGGTCCCAGTCAGGGGACAAGATGGCTCGGTCAGCAGTGAGACCCTCCTGGACCCCCACCTGTCCCGGCAGACCCCCTGCCTCTCCCATTGTGCCCTGTGGGAATACTTGTCCTGGAAGTGAGGTCCCACTCTGAGGTTCTCTAGGTTGGCAGGCGTCCATGAGGCCCGCCCCAACCCTCCCTGCATGGAGCTATCCTCAGGCCATCAGTGGTTAGGATGATGCCCTGCTGGCTCCTCCTCTCTCCTCCTCTGGGCACCTCCTCCAGGAAGCCCACCTTGAGTGCCCTGGCGGTTACTTGCACTGGAGTCCCAGGTGACCATTCATGAGGTTTGGGGCGGCGCCTCCTGGGCACACACAAGTCTCTGTGACAGGAAGAGTCTCACTGTCTGTGGGAGGTGAAGCACCTGCCTCCTCACTGTCTGGGCAGCAGCAGCGAAAATGACCTCCAGGCGCCCTGGTAGCTCCCTGCTCGCCCTGCTCCTCCACCTTGTCCTGCCCGGGAACCTGGTTACCCAAGGTAAGTTCTTCCTGGGCTCCTGGAGTCCCCAGGGGGGCTCAGCCCACCACTCCCTCCCAGGGTTGCAGACCTGCTCTTCCAGGGGTTAGGTTGGCTTTGAACATGTTGTTGGGGACAACGACACACAGCCATGGGCGTGCTGACGTCTGAGTGTCAGATCAAAGTGGCCTTCATTTTCTCCTTGTCCTGAACATCTGAAGTCTCTCCTTCCTGAGTTTAGCGCGTTTCACAGTCCCTCACAGGACACGGCTTTGGTTTTCAGTTTGCTTTTAGAACAGAGACGAGGTGTCACGTGGGAGGACAGGGAGGCACGCAGACAAAACCAGAACAAACCACTTCAGAACCGGGTTTGCTGAGAGGCTGCTCTTAGGGCTGCGTTACAAGAAGGTGAAAGAGTTGTGTCCCCACCTGGAAAGCTGGTCCTCCTGGCTGTTCCATGAAACAGCGTGAGGATGGGTCAGGACCAGGCAGAGCCGTGGGACCCAGGTGCCCAGAGCAGTGAGGAGACTGACTGCCCTGGGCCCTGGACACCCGCAGCACGGGGTGACTGAAGGCTCAGTGGGGAGCCGTCTACAGACAGGCAGGACAGTGGCACTGACCTCTCTAGGGGTCCCTGTAAGAGAGGGAGCAGAGCTGGGCCAGCCGTCCTTCAGAGGGTCAGCTGGCTTTGGAGAAGCGCCTTGTGCCTGGTGATGTGCCCGCTGTCCCCAGGCCCTATGCTGTCCCCTGCACTGTCCCCTGGCCCTACCAGGCTGGTGGTGACACACTGCCCCCTGCACAGACTCTGCAGCGGTGCGGCAGTCTCCTCGCTACACCATCACCCCAGAGGGCGGCTCTACCAGCATCATCTGCTCCAGCGGCATCTCCCAGTGGGGAGTCTACCTGGTCCAAACCTGGCCCCAAAATGCCAGTGTTATCTACTACGAAGACAGCGAGACGCCCACTGTGGATAAGCTGTTCTTAACACGCATCAGCTTCTCAGGGTCACAACAAAACCTAACCATCACCATGCACCGCCTGCAGCCCACCGACAGCGGCATCTACACCTGCAAGGTTCTCATGGACAGCAGCAGTCTCTTAGGCTCTGGAACCTTGGTCATGGTGACAGGTGGGACACCCCTCGACTCCCACCCGGCCTGTGTCTGACCAGGAAGGAGTGACTCCAGACATGTAGGAGCGAAGGCACCCAAAGTACCCCCTTCAAGGAGCCCCCCGAGATCTCCCCAACCCTCCACACACCCTCCGGGAACCCTAAAGGCTCTACAGGAGTCTCCCATAACGTGGGGTCATCTGTTCCTTTTTTCCAGACAAATTGTCCCACAAAACGGCCTCTGGCTTCTATGTGGCCCTAGCTGTGGTCTGCTTCCTTGTCAGGCTGTGCCTGGGGCTTACATGTGCACTAAGGAGGGCACAGGTCAGTGTGAGCCCCCAACCGTGTTCCCTCCCATTCCTGATCCCTAAGCCATTCAAGTGAGAGGATGGAGCAGGTGAAGGGCTAGCCCCAGGGAGCAGGCCTTTCCTGAGAGTTTCCATCAAATGCTGGGCACAAGGGGGACCCAGGAACCAAGGTGAGACGTGCATCTCCAGAATCTGGTGTGACCATGGAGATGTAGGAGTGGGCAGGTGGTGGGGTGGGGGTCTGGGGAAGACATTCAGGGCAAACATGTCAGGCAAGGGGGGGAGGAGGGGACCAGTGAGCAGAGGATCAGCTGATGAGGCTTCTGTGCATGCCATGGGGGCCTTGGGAGAGTGAGTGATGTGTGTGCACATGTCAGAGTCTGTGTGCGTGTGCCGGTGTGTGGACATGTGTGTGCTGTGTACCTGCATGTGTGTGTTGGAGTATGAGTGTGTATATGGTGTGTTTGTGCCTCAATGTGAGTGTGGCAGCGTTACACAGTGTGTAATGTGTGTAATTCAGGAATGTGTGGTGTGTGCACGAGTGTAAGAGTGGCAGAGCTGTGTGATGGTTGCACGTATGTGCATATGCACAAGGTGTGAGTGTTTTCATGGACATGTGTGTTGGTGTGAGTGTGTGTGTTGTACACAGGTGTGTGGCAGGTGCACGTGCTCGAGTGTGTGAGTGTGTGTGTTGGAGAGGGAGGGGAGAGGTGGCAGGAGCAGGAGCCCGGAAGTGGTCACTCAGCCATGTGCCTCAGGTGAAGGCAGGAGCAGAGACAGCCCCAGCCCCCAGCTGCTCCAGGTCTTCATCTGAGGGACATTCTGAAGCTCTGACAGCGTCAGATCCCTGAGGCCTTCAGGACGCTGCTACTGTCCAGCTCGGGCTGCGGATGGCACTGGCCGGCTATTGGGGAGCTCAGGAGGATGGGTGGTCCAGCGTCCTTGTGAGGCTGTTGAGAAGTCAACTTTGTCTTCCAGGTCCAGAAGCTCTGCTTAGGGCAGGATCGGAGCTCAGCTGACACTGTGGTCTATGAAGAAATGTCCTGCAGTCGCCACAATACCCTATCCATCCCCAACGAGTACCAGTCCATCCAGGACCCGGGAGCCTGCTGCAGGGACGCTCAGAGCACCAGCCAGCAGGGGACCTCTCAGCCTACCTATGCCAACACCCAGAGCTCTGGCTGAGGGCAGCCCAGCAGTACTGTCCACGCATACCTCCTGTGTCCCAGCCAGTTTGAGGGACACTGTCCAGGAAGCACTCCTTCCCTCTGTGGACACCAGGACAAGCTTCCACGACTCCTCATGCCTTCTCCTTCCATGGCCACTCAGGGGTTCCCCCACTCGTTGGATTTGAGAGCAAGACCATGGTCCCCTCCTCTCACATCAGCACTCCCACACCTCATCACACACATGTCCACCTCTCATAGAGTTGGGGCAGGAGGGCCTGGGGGATCCAGACCCTGCTGCACCTCACCAGAAATAAAGTATTTGCTTACTTCTATTTCTAAGCTCCTGTCTGTGTCTCCCTAGCTCAGAGCATCGGGGGAGAGGGGCTCCCATCCCCATCCCCCTGCTGACGTCTCCACTGAATTTCTGCAGGTGTATTTTCAGGTGGGAGTCCCTGGGTGGTGCAAACAGTGGGCGCACTCAGCTGACACATGAATGGTGGGGGTTTCAGTCCACCCAGAAGTACCTCAGAAGAAAGTCCTGGTGACCTGCTTCTGAGAAATCTGCCACTGAAAACCTTATGGAGCACAGTTCTCCTCTGGCCCCATTGATCTCCGTGAGTCTGAATCGACTGGACAGCACCTGGCCTGTATACATACATGTTCGGCTTCTCCGGAGAGCTACCGTAAGGCACACGCTATCCAACACTGCGCTGCTTCCAATAGAAAACCAGACAATTGAGGAACAGCTTCAATGTCCTGTTCAAGGAGCGGCTGTAGGGTCCCGGCACACGTCCAGATGCTCCCCATGCTGCTGTGGGAAAGCCGGATTTCCCTTCAACTTCCACAGGGCATGTGACCCCACGTAGAGTAGCACAAAATACAGGGATGTCCGTGGCCCCGGCGCTAGGGCATCTTCATATCTGCAGCGCAGACTAGAGTCAGAGCTGACGCCGCTTCTCTGTGGATGGTGGGCGCGGGGACTTTGTCTTCTTTGTACCATTTCCGTGTTTTATTTTTCTGTATTTAGACAGTCTCGTCTTTCTTCCTTGGGTCGGCTGCTGGGTTTGAACCCCCTTGCCTTGCAGTTAGCAGCCCAACATATAACCCATTGCAGCATACTAAAGGGCTTCAAAAAGTTAGAGGAAAACAGAATTACAAGATAATGGAATTTCCCCACCACTTTCTGGAAGCCCCTC